GCCGTCTCGTCTTGAACAGGAGCGCTTCACAAAAATGAACCGAAACTCAGCGAATACATGTCTCACAGACATGATAAATATATCTATAGAAAGCTTTAAATTACTACTTAATGAAATAAAACAAATCAAAAACAAAAACTATTTCATTATAATCTTAATCCGTAAAGATGCGCTTCTCTCTAAAGGCTCGTCTAATGAAGAGGTGAGTCAGGATCGGCAACTTCATCCTTGCGACACCTACACAGAAAACACTATTTATTAGTAAATAATTCAAATATCTCCTTCCTCTTTCCCCCTGACACATTTACGGTAATTACTTTTGCCAATGCTTTGCGGTGAGCTTAAGCCTATTGCGTGCATTTGAACGCAGAACTCTTCAGCTGCGCTGACGGCACGCACCATACATGCTGCTGCTGGCGGGACACTACACTGTCGAGCCGCTCTTGATAGTCGTGGTAGCACGGTCTCGAGTTGTTTCCACCAGCGTGGCAATCTTTTTTCATCACTAATTGATGAATGTCTAAAATATAAAAATAAGGGGAAGCCTAAAACAGGCCCGAGGCCCTGCCCGCGTCTGAACTATGACGTGAAAATTGTCCCGAAGCCCGGCCCGAGGTTAAAGTAACGACCAAGCGGCCAGTGGCAGACAGTGAGTTAATCATAGCCTATGTTTGATCAATTTAGCCTTCTCAAATCATCACCACTTGACTAAAATAAAATCTATAGGCCTATATAAAATGCTTTAAAAAACAATGTTAGTTTAAATGGTTAACCTAGATAAATGTGTGCTATTAGGCGTGTATCCAATCGTTTGTGCAGAGAAGCTAAAGCACGTTTTGCAGTCCATGGAGTCGCCAGCACGATCACTTGCATTTTTTTCTTATAACAGTGGAAACAACCGTCATTTTTGCTCCTAAAGGTAAGAGTAATACATCATTCGGGACTGTTAAGGGTCTACTTTTATTTGTGTGCACTCACAATATCAGCATACGTTGTGCTTTTTTAGAAAACAAACAGGATACGCTTTCTGCTGTCTCGGTCTTGAGCAGGAGCGCTTCACAAAAATGAACCGAAACCCTGCGAATATTCTATTTCCCCTGGGGCATTCATCATGGTAATTACTTGCTGGCGTTTTGCGGCAAGCTTTGCGTGCGCTTTAACATGGAACTCTTCCAGCACTCGCTGCTGCTGGACACTAAACACCGTCCGAGCCACTCTTGACAGTCGTGGTAGCACGGTCTCGTGTTGTTTCCACCAGCGTGGCAATTTTTTCATCACTAACTGATGGATGTCTAAAATATAAAAATAAGGAGAAGCCTAAAACAGGCCCGAGGCCCGGCCCGCGTCTGAACTATGGCGTGAAAATTGGCCCAAAGCCCGGCCCGAAGGGGCGTAAAAAAGTCGGGGCCCGTTGCTGAAATGCAGGGCTCTACGCCATCCCCCCTATGGGACCCCTCTCTCGATACACTGGTTATGCTTTTGCCTCCTTGGCCGCCTTTTTCAAATAGGTGCAGCACGTCCTCGCGGTGCTGTAGATTAGAAAATGCATGATCTGGAGCAGAGCAGAACGCGGGACCCGAGCGTTTTTAATCCATTTCATATGGAAGTTGAGATTGCGCAATTTAGGAATGAACTGAAAAAGTTCGCGCGCACACACACACACACACACACACATATAATGAACTGAAAAAGTTTGCGCACACACACATAAACACGCACGTTAAACATAAAGAAGAGGACAAATCTATCAGGCAGCTTGAAGCGAAAAAAAGAGGAGGAAAAGAGGAAACAGGACAACTAATTAAAAATTATAAATATTTTTTTTTCTCCGTTCGATATTGTGCTTGAATTCATTAGGCTACACAAAAGATATTATTCGTGTCTCGCGAAGAGAAACGCACAGACTACAAATACACAACTAAACAAAACATTCTTTTAATGAGTTTTGCCGCAACTCGTTCACTTGCTGATATACATAAAATAATTCAATAAATACCTATTTAGAATAGGCACTTAATTCAAATAACTATTAGGCTAAATAATAAAATAACGAGAATTCACTGACCAAAAGCAGCTTGAAAATGCTAACAAAGATGGATCCGTAATTGAAAGGTACTCTGTTATTTCATCAGTCAGTCATGGAAGTCTGGTGGTTGATGGGCTTCTGGCAACATTAATTTCAGGAGAGAAGACAATTTTATAGATTTGAGTGCACAGGTTTGAGTGTGCACATCTGAGTGAGAGAGAGCGCACGTCCTGTTTTGTGCATTATATACTATTAGATGTGTTTTGTCCACATTTCATATGTTGTATAATTATATCAGTAGGTAACAAAGATACATAAAAAAATAAATTAAAAAAAAATCACTGATTAATTTTGCCTGGGGCCCCCACTTCATGTAGGTACGCCTCTGCTGTCGATATGACGCTTTGAAAAATGAACATATTGCCCAACACTAATATACACCCCACACACACACACACACTCCTATGGGTTACTTATTTTGCTTGTAAGAACTTAAAAATCACAATTTTGAAAAAAAATTTTTGCAGCACAACTGATTAAACATTAATAAGAAATGTTTCTTGAGCACAAATCAGTATATTAGAATGATTTCTGAAGGATCATGTGACACTGAAGACTGGAGTAATGAAAATTCAGCAAATAAAGTACACTTTAAAATATATTAAAACAGAAGACTTTACTTTAAATTGTAATAATTAAACAATATTACTGTTTTACTGTATTTTTGATCAAATAAATGCCGCCTTGGTGAGCAAAGATCCTTCTTTCAAAAACACTAAACATCTTAACCAACCCCAGACGTTTGAAATATAGTGTACTTCCTCAAGCCATATGATTATAGGTATCATTTATGTTCGTAGCACAAATTCCAAAGTTTAATACATAGAGTTATGGTTTATAACAAATCCTAAGTCTGAGTATAAGCAACAGCAATCCTTAGGTGATACTTAGCAAGCACCAATAATGAAAGAAAACAAACCAAATTAAAAAAGAGAAAACAAAATAAGCAATAATTATTCTCTCTACAGAAAATGAAAATACTCATTTGAACTTTGCATTGCGTTTTATAGTCTAAAATGCTGTTTTAAAAGGTTCTGTGTTCCTCTGCTAGTCTTGTCCTGACAAATCAGAAGTGCTTTACAACCTTGACAATCGACCTTCTGCTCTGCTTTAAACAGTATGAATTAAAATCATATTCATAAAGATCTTACAGAGAGGCCGAGAGAAAACATGAATGATATCTGAGATGAATAAGAAAAAGATTAACTTATCTACCCATTATAATGGAGAAACTTCTTTTGATAAAATATTGCATGTATATCGATTAAACACTGCTATGAATTCACCTGTCAGTGCAGTTATATGCAGTAATACTACACCTCAAAAATGTTCTGCATTTGAAATCATTTTCATGTGCTATTCGGATTGTGGTCTCCATCAATTTCAATACGGTTTAATTTGCATGTAACAATTCCCATTTACACATTACTATTATTCTCTTGATGTCCAAGATGTACTTTTTTACACACCAATCCCTCTCTCTCTCGCTCCCTCTTTTTCCTCTTCCAGGGTGTCTCTCTCTCCAGCTGGCTGTGGTTAATACTACGTGATAACAGAGGCAGTAATTGACTGTTTTAGGTTGTTTGTAGCCTCTGCTCTGACTTGCAAATTGCAGCTCGTGTTTTCCAAGGACATTGAGTCCCATTCACCCACCACTTAAAAGACTCATTATACAGGAGCCAAACGGCACACACAAAAAGCCTTTTACACACACACACACAGGAACACACACAGGAACACCTGGTAGGAGGTGGAGAGAGATTGTGAATAGCAGTGAACATTCAGATCAGTAAATCCTGGAAGATCAAGAGCTTTTCAATTTCCTCCCAAACTGTGTTAATTAAATATTGGATGTCCCTTTTCCATTAGCTCACACACAAATCACATTATTAGTTATTTGAGTTTTCTTTATCCTTCCATCTTTTGCTGAAATGGATTTCTATAGCAGAAATGCACAATGGTTGTTTCAAATTGACAACTTTCATTAGTGATTTCAGTAGGCCTTTGCTGAATACTGCAGAGGGTGCCACATATATACTGTATACACACACAAAGTCAGCACTGGGGTAAAGTTACTGCTCAAATGAGCACAGAAGACACACTGCAAAAAATGCTTTTCTAGCTTGGATTTTTTGTCTTGTTTACAGCCAAAATATCAAAAAATTCTTAAATCAAGAAGGATTTTCTAGACAAGTAAAAATGATTGTCTTGTTTTCAGAAGAAACATGTCAAAATTAAGCGAGTTTTTGCTTAGAACAAGCAAAATAATCTGCCAATGGGGTAAGCAAAATAATCTTATTTCAAACAGAATACAAGATTTTTTTTTATTTACCCCATTGGCAGATTATTTTGCTCGTTTCAAGCAAAAACTCACTTAATTTAGAATTTTTTTTCTGAAAACAAGACAATAATTTTTACTTGTTTAGAAAATCTTTCTTGATTTAAGTTTTTTTTGATATTTTGGCTGGAAACAAGACAAAAGATCTAAACTAGAAAAGCATTTTTTGCAGCACCCCACCCACAATGCAAAGCTGTTTAGGTGCAACTGACGTTCAGGATAACAGTTTAACTCTCCCTGATCTAGCAAGTGAAACACAAGAACATCTAGTGCAGCATTACTCTCACACTGGGCTTTGAGGGTCACAGGAGAAAGTAGATTTCAAGACAAAGACAGACCGAGGACAGCAAAATCCCTCGATACCTAAACATGGAGAATATTACGCCAGTTTTGTGGTCAGTGTTGTTCTGATTACTTCTGCATTTCACAGCTCCAGAGCTGAAAAATGAGCCACAGGACAAAATAAAGGAGGAGGAGAGACGAGGTCCAAATCGCTTCAAGGAATTTCAGTTTCTGCAGATTTAAAATGGTGCAGTCAAAACACTTTCTGTTCCTCAAAAGTGTTCATGATACTGGATCAAATCACTTGCCTGAGACTCATATAAACAAATCATTTCACTTGGATGTTATAAGTTGCACTGAGTAAATACAGCTGGATGAAACAAAAACTGTCCATCTTCATTTCAGGCTGCAAAGCAACAAAATGTGATTATTTTAAAGGGGCTGATTCTTTTCTATACCCACTGTAGGTATATAATATAGTAAGTCAATTATTGTAAATGACACTAAAATGTGCCAAAAATAAACGCATTACTTATATAAATTAGGGATGCACCGATACCAAGCTCCTGTACTCGTACTCGTTAAAATGCCCCGATACCAAACGACAATACCACACAGCATGTGATAAGCGCCATATTCAGACAAAGAAACACCGACAACAGAACAACAGACAGCAGAATGGAGTTAAGGATGTCTACTACGAAGTATATGTATGCAATGAATATAACGTTAAACATTCAGTATTAAAGGGGTCATATGGTGCGATTTCAATTTTTCCTTTCTCTTTGGAGTGTTACAAGCTCTTGGTGCATAAAGAAGATCTGTAAAGTTGCAAAGACTAAAGTCTCAAATCCAAAGAGATATTCTTTATAACCGATACAAATTTGGGACCAAAAATTATTCAGACAGAGTCTGGGGGAAAAAAGTGAAGTTCAGGTTTGCATGAAGCTGGATGACAGCATGCCCAGGAGACTACAGGCTATCATTAAGGCTAAGTCCTGCCCGACTAAGTATTCATAGTTGTGTCATACTAACAGCTGTCTGAATAATTTTTGGTTGATTGTAATCTATTACATACCTGTCTATCAAAGTTATCTAACATTATCAAGCTGAATTTGTTCTGACACAGTTTAACTTT